CAGATTTTGGATAAATATTTTCAAAGAAGTTATTTTTCCAAGGGCCCTGGCTTGTGTACCATTGGCAGTAATTATAAGTGGACAAGTGAAAACATGAAAAAAAAAAACAAAAACCTCAAAACTCAAGTGAGGAAAAGGTTCTATCCAAAGGAGCAGGAATAGGAACACCCAACTGGACCAACAGAACACCAAGCCTGCCCACTCTTTGCCGCAAGTTCTGGTTTTCCAACTCCAACTCTCTGACCCTAGTTGAAGTAGAACTTCTAGAGACCAACCACTCTACCTTCCTCTCCAACTGATGGATTTCTTCTTGAAGATCAGCCTGGGACCACTCACCATAATGTATTTGTCTCTCCAAATATTTGACCCTTTCTTGGAGAGTGACAACAGTTGCCCATAAAGGATCCATCCTTCCTGAGCGAATGAGTCTTTGCGCTTTAGCAGTCCTAGTCTTTCTTGGCATGATGATAAAAGGAATATGAAGAATACCTGACAAACCAAGGAAAACCCTCATATTAAATAGGGAAATATGAATGATCGTACCACCCCAACAATTATATAAGGAGCTTCATTGTCTACCAGTTTGCAACAAAAAGGATTATCAACTCGTGCAAAAATTATCATGACTACTATTCAGGACCTAATTTTGGAGGATCTTCTGGTCACAATTCCTGAATTTGTGTAAGTGATTCCAATACCATATGATTTACTTAAGCCTATTGAAAATCAGGTCTTGCAAATATACAGGTATATGCAACATGCTATTCACATGAAAAATAGAATTCTCTCCTTGGTCTTGCATACTATCTGGAGAAATTATTGGAAGGAATTGTCAAATGATTACAACAATTCTATCTGAACAAACACTTGACTAAATATCATCTTATTGAATATCGTTACACTTATGGTCTCTTTGAAAGGTCTGGGATTGAGCAAATTTGGAGAACAAGACATACAACTTTGACCATAATTACCAAGTTGAAGTTCAGTGAATACAGTATCAACTCCTTATGAATTCTTGATTCGTGGAACTCACCGCTTAAGTAGGGGAGAAATATTAGCCTTAATTAGTAGTTATATTTTCCTTTAATTATTATCTATAGTTTTTGTCTATCGTATTACTGTAGTTTTATTTTTAAATCATGTGACACATGTAATGCAAGGTGTGTCTCATTGGTTTATAGGGTAGATCCAATCAATAGGACAAAGTAGTGATTGACATAATGTGCATTATTTAAGTTTATTATTTAATTTTCATATCTTATCTATATTTAGTTAACATGTTACCCAAGTAAGCAGATCTGATATATTGGTCTAATTTGGCAAATCTGGTAGATTTGATCACTTTGGTCACTTTGATCATTTTAGTTACCAAATAATTAATATTCAAATATGTATATAAAGGCCAGCTGTCCAAAGCAGTTGATCCAAAAGTTTTACCTACTGAATTCTCTTATCCTTGACATTATATATCTCTAATAAATCTTCTAATTAATCCAAACCACTCAAAGCCTTTTTAAACGTGTTTATGTAATCTTTACTATCCTTGAATTATCAACTTTAGTATACCACAACTGAAGTATTCTCCCTTAACTTAAAGTGGATTACTGCTATAGTTGTCCCATCTATCTGATTTGGAGGTTATTGGATAGGTTGACAATATTAATATCTCAAGAATATTAGATAAGAAATGAGTTAATATCTTTACAAATCTGAAAATCAAGATATAAAGATTTTTAAAAATAAAAAACTCACTAAGGAATCATTAAAAAGTTAGAAAAAATCTTTAAATACAATATACTAATCAAATACAATTAATTTGATAAAATAAAAAAATATATAAAAAATCAATATATTGATTTGATCAATAGTTACATCAAGAAATACATAACAAATATTATACACTTATTATATATTTTTAAAATTTTATATAGCTTTAGTTCAGCCTTGATAGATTAGCTTTCTTTTAGTATGATAACAAGCTATGAGGTAAAGTATTTCTTTCTATTGAACTGAATTTGATTAACATAGATAGCCTTAATATAAATCATATATGTATATTACTATTTAATTTAAATAAAATAAGGCTAAGCCAGCTTTCAAAAAAAAATATATCTTTTTTTAATTAGAATTTTATCATATTATATAATTTATATTTTAATTAATAAAAAAAAGTATTGCATTATATAAAAATTAAGCAAAAGCTTAGTACTTTTTTTAAAAACTTTTTTGTTGTTTTAAAAATACATATTAATTTTTTATTTAATTATATATTAGCTATTTTTATTAAACAATCTTTATAATATACTATATACAATATATTCAAGATCATCTTTGTATTAAATTTTTTTAAATAGCTTGTTACAATTGTATAATTAAAAAATTTATATTGATAAGATAAACTTATTATATTTTCAAGATATTATATATTGTATGTTTCATAAAAATTCAAGAAATAGTTAAATTTAATTTTTTTACTATTATAAAAAACTTAAATATCTTTCTCAATTGTTTTATATTTATATTTATCTAGTTTTAAAAGTTTATGCTTAATAATTTTTTTGCAATATTTCCAAAATTACAATAATAAAAAAAATATTTATAAAAATTTTGCATTGAGTTTATTTATAATTTATTGATAGGCCACAGATTTTTCAGTTTTAGAATAACTTCAAAATAATATTGACTTTGATTGGTTTGATTCAATGTAATTGACTTTGAATATATGAAAATTTTGGAATTTAAATTAGATTGAATTGAGATTACTCATAAAAGATTAACCTGAATAATCATTTTAAATATTGTAATATGAATAAAAATGATATGAATTATTACTAAACGCGAAACAAGAATCATAATCCCTTATTACACAAACTTTTAAAATCCGTATAATCATATTTTTTATTGCCAAGATTTTCTTTTCAAGATTCATTGGAAAAGAAAAAATCCCCATTAGAAGGAATAGCATAATTTGAAACAAATTATTTACACATTTTTCTAATGAAAAATCAAATTATATTGCTTGTTAAATTTCATTCTGTATGCATATAATGTTTAATTTTTTGTTTAATGAAATTTTTTAGAATCGTGACCGAAACAATATAGGCAGCAAAAAACAACCAATCTAAGGTCAATTATTAAATACCCATTCTTTCTTTTTTCTTATAATAAATCATAAAGAACCAATCGAAAACCAACCATAATGTTAAAAAATAGAAACGAAAAAAAAAAAAAAAAAAAAATCAAATTTTTTTATTGATTCTTTTTTCAGCAAAAACAATTATTATTTTTTTTGCGATCATAAATTAAACCAATTAGTTTTACAAATGCAATTATACGATATATAAAAAATTACCAAAATGTTACATCATAAAAAGAAACATGAGATGAAATATTGATAAAAGTTATATTATTAATCTTGTTAAGAAATCCGTGAGAACCACCGTATATTAATTATACTGCAGCCTTTAAAGATTGGGAATCGAAAAGAGAAGTTGCATGTTAATTTGCCAAATGACTTCCAGAAATCATTGTAATCGGCATTCGCATTTACGTACGGTGAAATAATGCATTTGGATAATTTCGCCGAAAAAAGTATTAATGGCTATCCGCAGAAGCAGTTGGGGATAGATTTCCGGGATGGGGTAAAGTACATCGAGCACTCCGGAGTTCTCGGACCACTGCGATGGTGTCAACCAAAAGAATTGGAACTTTCTATTGTCATAACAGAATGATTTGCAATCTTGTAATACGGTTTGTGCAATCCGATTGCATTATAGATTCCTTACAGATTCTACATATAATAACGAAAAATTTACTCTGTGAACATTATTTAACCATGAAGCACTCCGAACTTTTTCTTCAATCAGAAGTCTCATCATCTAGCGCATCATTTAATAATACTCGATCATCATCATCAGAACATTTCACAAAAAGTCATTCATCCTCTGAAGATGATAGTCCCTCATCTTCCGAAGTTGAATTCGACGTTGATTTTTTATGTCCAATATGCAAGCAACCAAGAAAGGATGATCGTTGGTGTCAATACTGCGAGTCACAGAAATTCTCAGAGAATTTCACAAACTGGACAAGTGGCAATGCGGATCTTGATGAGTTCATAAGAGATACTCAACGTAAGGCCGGCAGCAAGGTGGATTATTTGCTTTGGATAGAATATGAGATGTTTGAAGATGTGAAATTCTTGGCTCAGGGAGGATTTGGTGATGTTTATTATGCAGTTTGGGTTAATGGACCGGATAGAAGACTGGTTTATGATAAAGAGGACCGCGATTGGAAAATAATAGGTACGAGACGAAGGGACTTTTAAGAAACTTTTACTAGGAATACGGGTGGATTAATCTCAACTATCGTCGGATTTTATTTAGCGAGGACGCAAGTGGCTTTAAAATGCCACACAATTCTGAGAATATCAAAAGAGTTCTTGAGCGAAGTAATTAATTCATTTTTTCCAACAATTCCTATGATTTTACGCAAACTAATCTAGCATATTTGCTTTTGCATTGTTCAACAACACCAGTTAAAAGCGCATTACAAATGCCGCAATGGTCTTGTTCTTCGCTGTTATGGTATCACACAACACAGAGAAACCAGAAATTATATGTTAGTGATGCAGTACACAAATGGAGGTGATTTACGTAATTACCTCAGTGAAAATTCGTGTATGATCACCTGGGGTCAAAAACTACGAATGCTTCAGAATGTGGCGCTGGGCCTTGAAAAGATACACGAGATGGAACTCATACACCGAGATTTTCACAGTGGCAATTTGTTACAACACATTTCAAAGGATGGCACCATGAGAACGTTTGTCACAGACTTGGGACTTTGCAGACCCATGAATAAACTTCTCGAGTCCGAAGAAAAAGATGCCCTCTACGGAGTGTTATCGTACATTGCGCCTGAATTGTTGCGTAGGAAGACGGGTTACACTCAGGCATCGGATGTGTATAGCTTTGGGATCATAATGTGGGAGGTGTTGACGTGTAAACCACCGTTCAGTAATTTAGCTCATGATGTACACTTGGCCTTAAACATTTGCCTGGGGTTGAGGCCAAACAAGGTCAGAGGAGCACCGATATGGTATGTCGAGTTAATGGAGAAGTGTTGGAACGATGATCCTAATGAAAGACCGAGTATGACGAATGTGAGGTTAATTCTAAATAAACAAGCGATGAATTTGACTGAGGAAGAAGAGAATGCCATTGGTTTTCCAACGAACACGAGGATTCCCGAAGGAAATTTTGTCGGAAATGGTGATATAAGAAAGAGAATTGAAAGTTCTTGTTTTTGGAAGCATCCGAGGGCGGTTTATACCAGCAGGTTGCTGCCAATAATTAACGCATCGGAGGAAGACAGTATGGTTTTTTTTTTTTTTTTGACGTCTATGGAATATCATGGGCGATCTAATTTATAACATCCTGGACATTATTTTAATTGTGTCATCTTTTCAAAGGTTTCGTTAGAGGAATCTCGGGGGTAATACCGGAGTTGAGTCAATTGATAGACACCACATCCGATATGCCAACGAAAGAGGCTAATGATGAAGGCATGTATTTTCTTTAGGCACCCTGAATGTCAATATTACGATCGTTTGATTAATGATATTTTAATATAATCGATGATATTTTTGGCTAATGATTTTTATCTTATTGATTTCGACCACTTTTCTCTTTAATTCGGTAAATCATTGAATGAAAAGAATTGGATTACGTGACTGGAGCTTTCGGGCTCTCACTCAGTCTCGATTTTTTTCAACAATAATAAAACTGCATGCTCTCGGATGACCTTTTTCGCCAAAAATTTTTTTCATTTTTCATATCACCACATTCCCCAATAAGGGAAAGGACTTTTAGATTATCTTTGAATGTGAAACTAGTTATATATTTATTATATCTTCCAATTGTATCCACGTTACTTATTTCTCCACCCCAATTTGTCGAATCATGTAAACTATTTTCAATGGCTCATCGTTTACCATTCATTCGATCGTCCACCATTGAAGCATTATCTATTGGCTACACGCGAATTAAATGGAACTCTAAATTAATATGCATTATTCACAATAACAAATTCGGGATGTTACACATTTAACTTGAACATGTGAATTTACGCGTTAGCCATATCTGATTTATATCGAATTCTAATGACCGTTACACGGTGATGCCAATCCCGTTGTAAAACAATACATATTCAATTTCTTAACATTACGATTCATTTATTCCGATGGTTAAAAGTTGAGTAGATCCAGTTGATCATCGCGAGAATATGCAACACTAAAAAACGCCAATAATCCATTCTAGTTTCCACGACCTTATCATATTACATATTATTGCATAACCATTCACTTTCTCTCTGTTTTGCATCCTCTTCCGTGAGGTTCGATTTCGAAAAGAAAAAAAAAAAAGAAGGAATGAATGGTCGAATTTTTGTTGCGTTCATTTGCTCGTTCGTTGGGATGGCGGTGATGATTTTGCAAGTCGAGAGTGTTTCTATGAATTTTTATAACCCAATACACAATCAACAGACGTTATACAAAGGAGGAATCTCGGGACGATTTTTACACCTAACCGGTATTACTTTATTGCATAATGTCATTTGATCCTTTTAAATTTTGACGGATTTTTCAAACCAGTAATCTGTTTCCAACGCTTCTCAAGACTTTCACATAGATCCTTATTACATGTACCTTAGCGACCCCGAGAATAAGTGCCATCGTGTTTCCCAAAAAAAATCGCATAACACAGCGGGAAAATTTGGTGTCCTTCACTCTGAATGCGACACCCCTTACACGCTAACGAATTCGACGTTTGATTTTCTCCGAAAGAATTTTTCCGATGTAGACTTCGTCATATACACCGGAGACACGTGCAGGCACGAGCGTGATCCAAACGTTCCGCTGACAAAAGAGTACGTCATTTTCTGTCACCGGCTCTTGGTGCAATGGTTCACTGAATATTTTGATTTGCGGAGGGTTAAGATTGTTAGTATTGTGAAAATTCCATGTGTGAAATTGATGATCCTTGTTAACTTCATGCTTGACCTTGCCCCTGCAGATTCCGGTCTTGGGGAACAACGACGAATGGGGTAAAATTCGAATCCTCTAATATTATCATTATTATTATTATACATCAAGCATAACTTCTTCCACGTCGTCCATAGAGCACAACCAGTTAACCGCCGGGCCGAATTCATTGCTTTCCAATCTCACCGATATTTGGGCTCCTCTCCATTTGAATCTGACAAACGATTTCTACATCGGTGGATATTTCCGACAGGATGTCAACCTTCGATTAAGTGTTCTCGGTTTGAATTCGATGTACTTTTTCGATGCAAATTCCAAGGTTAAAGATTGCAAGAGCAAAAGCTCCCCAGGCGCCAAGCAATTGAAATGGTTAGAGGAGGAGTTGGAGAGCGCAAGAAGGGAGAATAGGAAGATTTATGTGGCCCAGCATATATCTCCGTTGGACTCATCAGGTGCATTGTAAGATGGATATTATGCTGTTGTAACTGCATATTCAAAATATACTTGTTCAACATATCCATGTCTTTGTTACGTTAGGCGAACCGGACTATTATCCGACGTGTTTTAGCAAATACGTTCAACTAATGGGCGATTACTCCGATGTCATCCATGGGCATTTCACGGGTAATGATCGTTTGCATTCACTTTTTTGCAATTCAAATCCATCCTTTCTCAAAGGTTCAAACCGTCGTTGAACTCACCGCTCTTAGGACACACCAACCAAGATACACTGACATTTGTGTCGTCCGGTAAAGGTCTTAAAGGAAATAATTATTACTTGACTCTTCTCACAGAAGAACAAAGGGAAAGAAAAGAGTACCCGAGTTCCGATCATAGGGTCGTATTAGTGTTCAATAATGCTCCATCAATTATCCCAGGTGAGTTCCATAAGACCCGCTTGCCAAACAATGAAACATCATCGTGCTAATCAGTATTCTAATCATTCTGAAATTGTTTCAGTCAACAATCCGGCTGTCCGAGTGTATCACTACTCCACCGATGACCTAGATTTTGGGGTTCTACTTAACTATCATCAATATTTCACCAATCTCACCGAAGCAAATATGATCGGAGAGGTGCGTTGGTACTTGGAATATTCGGCCAACGATCACTTTGGTATAGACAGTTTGCATAGAGATGGATGGGAAAGACTATTTAAAAGATTTAGGAAGCCCGATTTGGAATTGTGGAAGAGATATATTAAATATATTGAAGTTAGTAGGCACTAGGTAATTAGCAGCAGATGAAACGATTAAAGATGATTGATTGCAAGTCTTCATGAAAATGCTTCAGCAATCGGTACAATTATCATCTATTCCTTGATTTCCAAACGAATGAAAAAAAAAAAAAAAAAAAAATTTCTCTGATAAAGAACTTTAAAGAATTTGTCACAAGAAAGAAATCGAAGTCCAAGTACCTGATGCATCTAAAGCCTCCACAGTTTTCTATATCAATAAACATTATTTGATTCACCTTCGTTGGTTGAGCGTGGTACCGAATACTGTAGCAAAAGTATCATGTGTGCGTGTAAACTTTTCAGCTTGCCCTTGCATTAAAAAACATGCACAAAATCAACTATTCGCATTCATCAATTGCAAATGGACAAAAATACGTATGTGACGTTACATTAAAAGGAAAATCGTTTTGCAATCTACAGTATGTACGATGCAAGAAAGAGAATGTAGAATAAATCATCACCCAAATCTTAATATTGTTGGCATCATTTTTGTTGTCACAAGTAAGGGGTGATGACCGTGGGAATACATGAGTCCCCTAGTAAGTAATAGTACTAGCGTTTGTCTCCATCGTTACATTTTGTCCATCTTTCGATAATGAAGCATTGCTATATAAAATGCGTGGAATGCACGTTATATTCGATACCCCCGGAATGTCGAACGTAATAAAACTAATCTCATCATCCTCGACGAAATATCGTAATCACATAGCGTCACGACGAGCGAAACACCCGTTGCAAAAAACGCTAGTAACATTGACGGCGTCTAATAGCAATGCAATAAACACAATTACTTCTAGGTTTTCCGTTTTAAATAATAATCGGTTTTATCACGATGACGGGGCCTTTGGATATAGAGTACCGAGGGTATTTAAGATGCCTGATTGTAAGTTTGCAAGGTTGAAGTTGATGCGACGAGTGTTGGACACAATGCGTGTGTGTTCGTTGATGGTCCAGACGTTTATTATGAAAGCCGCGCGGAATTTTAGCAATGCACTTCCAGGATAAACGCTTAATCATTCTTACCCTAATAATGCAGACACCAAAGAAGAATTGTCAAGTAGAATCGAGAACGCCGGATTACTTCGACTGATCACCGCTTATAGGACTCACGGTCATAGAGCCGCCGATCTTGATCCATTGGGAATTATGGAATCGGAGTAGGTTTCGGCATTTTCGGAGGGCGTGTTATAAGTTGATTTTGTTTAAATTTCTTGTTTCTTCTCTTCTACTTTTCTCATTCCTATCCTCCCGGTTCACAATTAATGATTCATAATACCTGGGATTTTATGTTTACTGTTTGCACGACAGACAAGTGCTTGCATTAGATCACACAAGATATATTGACCCCACGGACCCTGGTAAACTTTACAATCTGAGCGGTATGTCGTTATTAAATCATGTCTACACAGACCTAAATTGAAATTTCCCACTTATTAGTCCATTTTTCGTTTGCTATTGCATCCAAGGCAACCTATTCCTCAGCTCGAGAAAGGAGGCGCCACTCGAAGTCATTTTGAATCACCTAAAAAAGGTTTATTGTGGTAAAGTCGCTTATGAATTCATGCACATTCCTGTGAGTGCTATTCAGTGGTCTCGCTTTCTCGTCATTGTTATTCTCTCCTTCCCATATATAATAATCATTAATTTCTTTGTTATAAGAATGCGAGTGAGAGACGTTGGTTCTATCGCTTGATAGAATCTTTCGATTCTGTGTCATTAACTCCAAAAGAAAAGAGAAGACTTTTTGAGGTCTTGACTAGATCCGAGGTAATGTTTGGGAATTGTCACAGGCATCTCGTTCGGTACAGCGTATTCTGAATGACGAAAATCCTTGACAAATAAGGTTTTCGACCACTTTATGGCCAAGAAATTTCCACAAGTTAAGCGCTATGGTCTAGAAGGTGCCGAGTCGACGGTAGTAGCTTTGGACAGGCTGTTCAAAGTTTCTAATAAGGGTAGATTGACATCATACGCACATTGAACGCTTGCTCATTGATAGTGTTAATCAAACGGTTTGTTTTGCTCTTTCACGAATAGCCGGAATAACCGACATAGTGTTATGCATGCCTCACAGAGGTCGCCTAAATTTGTTAACAGATTTACTAAAATTCTCACCGACGAGGCTGTTCCACAAAGTCCGGGGAAATCCGGAATTTCCGGAGGATTTGCCGGCCACTGGAGACGTTTTATCACATCTAGGCAAGTGCTTCCATATTCCATTGTGGTGATGTGTCGTATTGATGGAATTTCCACTATTAACCATTAGCTTCCTCGCCCACTTTGGAATTCGGCGCGAGAAATCCTCTAAATGTTTCGATGCTTCATAACCCTTCTCACCTTGAGGTCGGTTCTAAAATCGAGTATGGGTTTATTACCGATTCGTTGAGGAATTCCATTAATCGTACTGCATCGCATCGTGTAGGCAGTGAATCCTGTGGCGATGGGAAAGGCACGAGCGAAGCAAATGGATCTCATAAAATCTGAAACAGACTGTGAGCTTGGTGACCGTGTCATGTGTGTTCAGCTGCATGGTGATGCTGTAAGTCCGTCACGGAGGCAATTTTTTTCTCATCCACATTCCCCTGTTCTCAAGGAAATTATGTTTTTCAAACGCAGGCATTCACCGGTCAAGGAATAGTGATGGAAAGCTTCGGTTTATCGAATCTTCCACATTTCACATCCGGAGGTTCTGTGCACATAGTGGTCAACAATCAATTGGGGTACACGACACCCGCACAGAACGCACGAAGTAGCTGGTATAGCTCTGACATAGGAAAAATGATCAATGCGCCTATTGTTCATGTTAATGGTGATTTTCCGGAGGTGATTGTTTGAATGTGTTCTTCCTTTCTTCCTTTCTTTTTTTTACACTTTACTCACCAGGTTTTCCGTCTAGGAGGTAACTCGCGCGGTTGAAGTTGCATTCGAATATCGAAACAAATTTCGAAAGGTGTGTTCCTGATGACCGAATATATGTGTCAAGGCGTGCACGATTTAAATGCTTCACCATATGTTGATAGGATGTCATAGTCGACCTAATAACATATCGCCGATGGGGTCATAACGAGTTGGATGAACCAGCGTTCACACAACCTTTGATGTATAAAAACATTCGATCAAGGAAAAGCGTGCCCAAGTTATATGAAGAAAAGATGGCAGTATGAGTCTCATGTGGTTTTTACTTGTTACATCGTTTGATATTGTTGGAAAACTTACCTTTTCAATTTTTTCAAATATATTCGAGGCTGAGGAATTATTAGCCGAAGAGGAAATCGCCGAATTTCGAAAGCAATATTTTAATTCACTAGATGAACATTACAAACAGTCGGATAATCATAAGCCCGAGGTAATAACATATTTCATCTGCTAAATTGATACTCCTCGGGTGCCTTCATTTTTATTCGATGTTTTGTTAATTTAACTCATCGATTACTGGTCCGTGTTGCAGGCGGACATGTTGCAGAAGAAATGGAGTGGAATTGCGATGCCCAAAGAGACTGTTTCCAAGATCGACACAGGTACGTATTATCTATACATATCCACTGTCTATAGGTGAATTTACATTCGAGAATGCTGACTTTGATTGAAGGCATTCAAAGAGACATCTTGGAGAAGATAGGAGCAGCGTCCGTGACTACTCCTGATGATATGGCATGCTCCCCCCTCAATCTGATTTCTTACGCTTATTAAAGCACACGTAAACTTACTGTTTCTGTAAATTCCAAAAGGCAATACATCCACGGCTTCAAAAATTTCATGTTCAAGCACGACTTCAGAAAATCAAGGAAGGAAAGAGAATTGATTGGGCTACTGCGGAGGTTCGTTAAGATTGACGGTGAATCGTCCATTTGTTATTATCCGTTTGCCGATTCTTAAATTCCAATCTTCATTTGCCCAACCTCTCACAATTATATAGGCGCTGGCCCTTGGGTCTTTATTACTGGAGGGTCATAACGTCCGCTTATGCGGCCAGGATGTGGGACGTGGTACGTTCAGTCAGCGTCACGCGATGTTTACGTGTCAGGAGTCGGAGCGAGTGATGATTCCATTGAATGAACTGTCGAAAGACCAAGGAATGCTTGAGGTAGGAAGTTTGGATTAGTAGAATGGTGATTGACAAGTTATGTCCCGGTATTTTTCTTAGTTCTGTAAAGTTTTGGATCTAGGTTGCCAATAGCAATCTCAGTGAACTGGCAGTAGTTGGGTTCGAATATGGAATGTCATGCGAGTCGCCTAACAATCTAAACATATGGGAAGCTCAATTTGGTGACTTCTTTAATGGCGCTCAGGTTATAATTGATACTTATGTGTCCAGCGGAGAAGGTCCAAATTTTTTTTTATTGCGTGGACTAATAACTTCGTGTACGTATTTCCGATGATTGACCTAATTCTTGTGATGTTTTGACTTCTGTTAGTGAAATGGTTAAGGCAATCCGGATTGGTGATGTTATTGCCCCATGGGTATGATGGCGCGGGACCAGAGCATTCCAGTTGCAGAATTGAAAGGTTTTTGCAGGTAATAATTTAATTATTGATTTCAACCTTTCCCACTACTCTCATGTTACATCTTACTTTCAATTTATAATAACATTTGTTTATAGCTTACAAACGACCGATTTGATGTGTTGGATGAAAAAATGCCCGTTAATCCCAATATGCACATAGTGAACCCTACCACTCCAGCGCAGTATTTTCATGCTTTGAGAAGACAGGTAGGTACTCTTTTATGAATTTTGTATTTATTTATCTATGATTTTACAAATTTCACTGTTTGATATATTTTAGATGAAAAGGAATTTCAGAAAGCCTTTGATAGTTGCATCTCCAAAGATATTATTAAGGTCACCCGTAAGTCGATCGCATGCATGCACTGTTGCAATCCATCGAGGGAATATCATAACTTTTGAAAATAATTTTAGGTTGCGGTATCGGATTTTGAAGAAATGATGCCAGGCACAACATTCTTGCCCGTAATAGGAGATTCCTCAGCCGCAAATTATTCAAAGCAAGTTCATTTTTTGCCTTTCTTTGTATTGAATACTCTATTCTGTAAACCTCCTAGTTCTCATTCGTTAATACGACTAGGGTTGAAAAAGTTATATTTGTATCGGGAAAGATCTATTATGAGCTTGTGAAGGAAAGAACGAAAAGGGGTGTGGATGAAAAATGTGCTATCATCCGGCTTGAGGTATGTACATGCCATTCGAAGGAATTTTTACGCATATATTCAATTTACTTCCGTGTTACCAGGAACTATGCCCATTTCCAAAACAAGACATTGAACGGGAATTAAGGAAATATATCAATGCTCACGGTACGGTTTGCTCGTGTATATATTTTACGTGTATATTTGTTTACTTCCAATAATAATAATAATAAATAAATAAAAATCTTAAATATATTGGTTAAACGTGTAGAATTTATTTGGTGCCAAGAGGAACCACAGAACAATGGCGCTTACGCATTCACGGAACCCAGGTTAAATCAATTGTTACCCCATAAAAGGAAGGTGGGTATTACAACATGCTTGATAGTATTCAAGAATTTTCTGGAATAGAATCTTTTTATTAACTAAACTTGTACTAAATTAATCGATAGCTAAAATATATTGGGAGATCTCCGAGTGCAGCACCGGCAGTAGGGGTATCCAAATGGCATCACAAAGAATTAGAAAAAATTATAAACGATGCGTTTTTGATTTCGAATTGATAGGGCATTCACGAATAAATAGATGATGTATATTTAATTCTCACGATTGTCAATCATCAAGTTTTAAACAAAAGAAATTGGAAAACCCATTTGCCGCACCACCCTCCCTTTGATACCCCACCAAATCCTTCTAGTTTGTATCACTTCGACGGGTTGATATTTATGTAACATCCTTACGCCGATTTGGGCAATTGCTTTTTAATATAAATTTATTAAAAAAAAATTTTTTTTCACGAATCGTCCTTCAACTCTACAACCAATCAATCAATCAATAATCGTAAAGAAAGTTTTCAGACCATGACACCCAAAGTTAATAACATGATGTCGCCGAATCATTCTTATCCTCGTAATGACTTCTATCCAAATGCTTTTGTGCAATCAAGCCCGATGCCTGAAAATCATGATTTTCATGATTTTCCGCTATATACTGGTGGTTTTCACCAATATTCGCCACCACAAAATTATGTTCTGCCAGGTTTCATTCCAACACAAATGTCCAATTTCAATTTTTCACAACCATCATTGTTTAACGGCTATGAATCCGTGCAAACCTTCAACGTGACACCCGCACTACATCCTCATTATACTCAACAGCCCTATTATACGCAGCAACCATACTACTCCTCGCAACCGTTTAACCAGCAACCTTGCGCCCAACGGCCCTACACCACACAGCACGCGGCACAAGAATCACGTGATTACAATCAATATCGACCTAATACGTATAACGCGAATCGAAACCGCCGAACTTTTCGCCGTGGTAACAATCGACACACTTATCACCCTCGCGCACATTCAACAAACCTGCAATTCACACAAAATAGAAGAAGAAACTTCCCCAGAAACAGACAACACGTTAGATATCGACCTTACCAGAATTCATCAAATCGATCACGGCAAAACAATAACCCCGACATCGTAGTGACCAATACACATAATGTTTCGGAAAAGATAGATTTAACATCAGTGGAATTTTTCTATGAAAGAGGGAAACGGGACAAATATCATCATTCCGACACGATCATATCTTCCTCAGCTCATCCGGCCGCCACGTTCGAACACCGATCAGAAAATCTCTATAGGAAAAAGCAGAATGATTTTTCGAAACCACCTAGGAGAATGTGTGAGAATTGCAAGCGCGTTGAGGCCAAAAGGGGATGGTGCAATTGTTACAAAACGATTTTTGAAAAAAGTTACGGTAGCTGGACAAGCGGCTACAAAAATATCGATGATTTCATTCACAAAACACAACAAGAGGCAACCAGTATATGTGAATTCTTGGAATGGATCCCGTACAACAGACTAAAGAATATTGTGTATGTCAAGAAAGGTGGGTTTGGCACCGTTCACTCGGGAACCTGGTGTGATGGAAGGATTCAAAGGTGGGACGGTTATTCGGGGGATTGGATGAGAAGTGGAGAAGAAAAGGTGGCACTGAAGAGCCTGGAGATTTCAATGGAGATTTCTATGGAAATTTCTAGTAAATTTCTGTCCGAGGTAAATTATTGCACACCATGTGTCGTGATAAAGTAACTGTGTGTTTTATAAAAAAAAAAGAAAAAGAAAAGGACATTACTTATTTTAATATACTGTAAATAATAGCTAGAGAAATATTATCTTTGTACCAATAGGGTTTCCCATGTACTCCGAAGTTTCGGCATAACCAAAAATCCTGTGAATAACGAATTATACATGGTGATGGAATGGGCCGAGAACGGGAATCTCCAAGAGTATCTACAGAAGAACGGTGGTAAGATGACCCAACTAAGCAAGTTAAATATACTCGACAGCATAGCGAAGGGACTTGAAACTATTCACGATGCAAAGCTGACCCATGGAGACCTTCACAGCGGAAACATATTACTCAACAACAAAGGTTGGGTTCTCATCGGTGACATGGGATTCAGTAAGTGTTATGAATATTGCGAAACCGCCGAAACGAAAGACAGTGTACACGGGGTAATACCATATATTGCACCCGAAGTCTTGGTTCAAAAACCTTACACGCCAGCAGCAGACATCTATAGCTTTGGAATGCTCATGTATGAAATCTATCATGAGCATCCTCCATTTCACGGCCGCGAATACGACATCCATTTAATTATGGACATAGTGGACGATATAAGACCAGAATATAACAGGCGGATTCATAAAGGTTATCTTGGTTTAATGGCTAAATGTTGGGCAGGAGATCCTATGAAGCGTCCTAATGCGAAAGAGGTACTAAATTCCCTGGCTCATATTCGAATGGAAATTCATGAAACCTCTTGTTATTCGAAGCCTCGATCCACGTATCTGGATTGTCCTAGATAATCCAAGGCATTCTACGCATATAGAAGCCAAAAGCCAGGAAGGCGCACACCGTGCCTTTTAATTTATTTTCAATGAATTTTTCCTTCACCATCCTCTCTTCCACCACTCTTCCATACTATACTTTCTTTCAGATGGATAGTCTATCTCGTACCGGGAGAGGGTTGCGATCTATCGTTGACGTCCTCGTCGTGCAACCCGGGTATCATTTTTCGAACGATAGCGAACAAACGCTGAAGATTTACCAACAAACTTTAATACGTATGTCAGCAAAAAAAAAAAAAAAAAAAAAAAAAAAAAAAAATTTTAAATCATAATTTCAGCTCATTCCTGTTTAAGGCTGGCGTGTGTAATATACGTACGTAATATTTTGTAACACTACTTGTAGTATTTATATGTACTGTATAGTGAATTCAATGAAACAAGAATGTATCACAATACTTAGAATGAACATGATCAACTTCGATATTTGTTACATTACGTATAACGGTGGCAACCTTTGTGCTGGTTGGACCATCATGAAGTCTAACCCAACTGTCGAATGCGACGTAACGAATCAACAAGTTACGCATATTAATCTTGACGAAATTTTCAAGAATCTTGTTCCTTCTGACGTTAAAAAAATTTCCACATCAGATTTACAACAAATTTACAACAAAATCATTGCAGGTAAAAACCGCATTAGTTTATATAAAGTTGTCGTCTCAATTGCAAAGGAAGTTTATGGACTAGATGAAGCAACCGTACTTCAGACGATTGACAACGAATTGTTTCAAAGGCTCGATAAGTTTGATATATCCATTAAAGCCGAACATTCAGATGAGGATGCGGTGGTACAGCATACTAATGGCGAAAGTTCCACTATGAAAGGTGGTATTGTGAAGTCGGAAAATAAGACTCAACAATCTTGTGATGAGCTTTACTTTGGTTCAAATATGAATGTAACGGGAAAAACAGTACCTTTGGCGAAACCATATCAAGAGCAAAACGACGACGCAACTGTGTCAGATCATTCATCAGACATGTCCATGTCGGACATCGAGGAAGATAATTCTGCTTTGATTGTTCAGTCTCATGAAAACCAATCCCATTTGACCAAGCCAAATCAGGAGCCCAACTCTTCTATTCTTGAAGCTAGATCGTCCTTGTTAATAATTAGTGAAGAGTATGCTGATGATGAACAACAACATAGCGTGTCGGATCCAAAAAAAATGGACGTGAGGGAAATGGAGAGGAGACAGTCTCCTTTTCTTCAATCATCTAAAGGCAATGGCGGTGAAATTAAAATAGAAGGTTCAAATTTTGAAACCGGTCAAACAAGAAAAACTCATTTGGATCATCTTGGAAGCTCTAGCAGCCCAATAATTGTTGATGATGACGATGAAATCGTGATAGATTGAATAATCGAGATGTCTCATCCCAACCGTTAACTCATCGAAATCAACATATCGTTTTCTCATCAACAATGTGGCGGTACAACCTGATCTATCGAATATAATAATTGAGCTTGTGGTGATTTTTGCTCACAATAAACTAACGAAGCATGCATACCGCATTTTATTTTTCATGCACTTTATTTATGTGATCTCCAAACACACTATAAATACTAAAGAGTAGTTTGAGTTACGGGTTCGGTATAGAAGATACAATAGTGTTTGATCTGTTGCTCATCTCATAATTATATAATTACCCATGCCAAAAGGGCAAGAACAATCAAGATTATCATAGAAATATATTAAATAACTCTAGCATAGTAGTGTATGAACGGCTTTTTTGCGCAATCCCGTGAATAGAGAATATACAGAAAGGTTGGATCTTATTGTTGGGCGAAGGAAATCGTTTTGGATACTACGTAATGACATATCCAAGCACGTTGTAATCTACTGATAGGTTAATAAGTCTAATTTACATTTGTTGTTATAATCTTTATCCATTAATTGGGAACTTTTGAAAGATACGTGGACGGTCTTAATAATGTGCGCAATGAGGGTCTTTTTCATTTTCAGGAAAGTTGGCTTGCAGTACAGTATACCATATTGCACGCTAGTAATTTTTCACCGGTTATTTCCGAGAGGATTATTTGAATATTTCATTTAAAATTTCGAAATATGTTAATTGATTTATCTCTTATCAGTATTTTTAATATTAAATAAATTTTAAGAGTTTTAATTTTTTTTTTTTTTTTTTTTTTTTTTTTTTTTTTTTTTTTTTTTTTTTTTTTTTTTTTTTGTTTTTTTTTTTTTTTT